ATTTCAAATCCCAATTTTACTACAACCAACCCTTGAGCAATAGGAGTTTGAATTGTGCGGGTCTACTTGTACACAAATTTTTTTCAATAAATACAGTTGGCCCTGAGTATCCCCTGCTCTGACATTAGTGGATTTAACCAACTGTGGATCGAAACAGTACTTTTGTATTCCCAGCCACAAATTGAAAATACTCTTTCTGCAATCCATGGTTGGTGGAATCCCTGGATGTGAAGAGCTGACTGTGGTTAACTTTCTGGGGAATCAAAAGTTGATACTCGAATTTGACTGCGTGGGGATTGGCACCTCTGACCCAGTATTGTTCAAGGGTCAACTGTACTTATTTCTATGATGAGTTTAGATACGTCCCTTCAACATCTCTGAGCCTGGCTCCTGAAATGTAAAATATGAAAAATAGGAGTATGGGGAGGAATGGAGAAAATGACAGTGTCGACTATTGTAAACTCTCTAGAACAATTGGAATTTTTGTTTGTTTGTTTTAAAAATTTTATTGGGGAACAGCCATGGTCATTGGTTACATATTGCTTTCATGCTACAATGGCATAGTTGACTCTTTTAAAGAGGGCATAGCTCACAGTGGTCCACATGGGGATCGAACCAGCAACCCTAGTGTTATCAGCACCACACTCTAACAAACTGAGCTAACTGGTCACCCCCTAGAACTATTGGATTTTTAACCTTGACAAAAATAATGTAAAAAACCTTTTTTAAACTGTGGGACTAAAAAGTGAGTCTCTCATTAGAGGAGAGCACAGCAGTTTGTCTTTCAAAATGTGTTCTTTGCATTCTGTCTTCAGACTGTTTCTTAACCCAGCCCTCAGACTGACCTCGAATCCATTTGGAAACAAATCACATGACACTTGTCCAGCTCATCCTAAATAATGACTCCAAGGTCAGTTCTGGCCTCTGTGGCTTGGGTCGATAGCAGCTTTCTTGACTTGGCATTTTACTTTGGAAATACTCAGAGAAGGAAAAATGCAAACAAGCAAACACTCCTCAGTGTATCTTATACAACTGCCATGCATGTTTGTCTCCTCTATTTTAAGACATGACTATACACATATGTTAAGCACCTAATAGTAAACCAATCCTGGACTACATATTTGCATACATTACCTCATTTTAACAATCATAGGAAGCCATGTGTTATTGTCCCATATGCCAGAGTAGAAAATTGACATTGAGAAAGATTAACAGGTTTGTTAGTAAATGACAGAGCCAGGAGTGGAACCCACCTCTCCCAGTGACCCCAAGCCCAAAACAGCATCACTCTACAATGCTAACTCAGCCCTCTACACACGCGTCACCTGCTCTAAAGAGGTACTACCAGTTTATAGTCTTCCTGCACACATTTCTTTTTTTTGTTTGTTTAAGATTTTATTGGGGAATTGGGGAGGGGAACAGCATTAGGGAATCGGGAAAGAGGAACAGACAAGTTGCTGTCCTTTTTGTTCTTCAGTCTAGTTGTGGAGGACGTTACTTCACTGGCCCATGTTGGTATTATCATTGCACTCTTCCCGGGTGAGGCAGTCACTCACCGGCCATTGGACGGCCACTCATGGTGGCTCACAGCAGCTCCCAAAAGTGCACGCCAGCTGCTGGCCAGCCCCACTGCAGCCTACGCTGTCACGGGGTGACTCACCACAGCCCAGCTCCAGGTCGAGCTGTTGTTCATAATCTTAGCTGTAGAGAGCACAGCATCACTGGCCCTCATGTAGGATCTGAACTGGGGCCTTGCTGCTCAGAGCTGGCCAGCTCTTAACCAATGCGCCACTGGGTCGGCCCTGCACACATTTCTTAAGCTAAATCAACTCTTCACATTTTGACTGGCATGGGGTGGTAGGCACGGCCAACTTCTTGGGCATGCAGTCACACAGGACCCCATACCCAGAAGGGCCTTACCCTTGGCTGAAATGCTCTGCTGT